AGAGGCTGAAGTGGTGGGATTTTTCTTTTGGAGGCTGTGTGATGGCTATTTAGGACCTCTCATATACTTTCCTTACTTTGAGGAATCTTGAGGAGTCTCACTCTGACTTTGAAAGAGCATAAGTCTAAACTTTCTGCAAGGATTGGCCCCATGGAATATTGAAAACATTGAGGGGTGGTGCTGTTAGTAGGATGATGGAAAATGACTTCTGAAGTAGAATCTTAGACCCAATTTTGATGTTAATTCTAGAATGGAATAGATTAAGATACAGCCAAGTATGTGCGTATTCAAAATTTTAGCTAGAATTTGTATTCCACAGTACCTTAAAGGGATACAAATGATAGTGAGAATAGTATAGACTCCAAAGAAATAGGTAGAGGCTATAATAGTCTTTATAGACTGCCACAAAAAGTTGCTTTGTCAATAACTTTATGAGATAATAAAATGTAACTGCTGTTGTAAAGGTTGCCCTGATATAAAGGAAATTACATTTATTTAAAAATGTAAAACCATATGATGGTGAGATTATTAAATCAGAACTTAAAAAAAAAGTCCTATAGACAGGGTAGTTTAAATGACAATAGCTTATTTTCTCATTGTTCTGGAGTTTGGAATAAAGCCCAGCAAGATCAGTTTATGGTCATCAGAGCTCACTTCCTGCACAGACTAGATTTAATGACACAGGTGTTGTTGTGTCACCAGATGGCTGGCTGCCATGTAACATGTCTGCAAATTCAGAAAAAAAAGAGTGAACACCTGATGTTTCCTTACATGTGGACACTAACCTACAGGATAAGGGTCCAATCCCTATGACCTCACTTCACCTGAACTGCTTCCTTCTTCCAAACTTAATGAGAGGATGCGTTCTGAGAAAGTGTTGTTAGCTTATTTCACCATTAAATAAACATCGTAGAATGTACTTACACAGATTACAATGGACTTTCTTCTCAGTCTCAACTTCAGCCAAGACCTTTAAAGTTTTCTCATATCTGACATAGGCATCTCTCAAAATTTTGTTTGTCCCATTTTCTTCAATAAAGTGAATATTTTAGCAGGTTTTGCTTGTTAGGGTATGAAGACATACCACATTTGGGTTTGAACTTAAACACATGGATTTGTGTCATAGTAAGCTTATACACCATGCTCCTAGCCTCTACAAATGCATATATTTATGTTTTTATATAAAATGCATTAATTTCATTCTAACAGCCACCAAAGTCTTAATTCATTATAGCATCAACTCTCAAACTGAAAATCTTACCCACAATAAGTAGGCCTGAAGCTCTAGGTACAATCCATTATGAAGACCAATTTCATTACTGCTGTAAACTTATGAGCCCAGACACGTTCTGTGCTCCCAAAACAATAATGCGATAGGCATATGACAGATACTCCAGTTCCAGAAGACAGATGTTGAAAAGCAGAAAGAGTGAAACAAATGAAAATTTAGGGAAGAATCTAAATAGGTCAGATTTTCCTTTGTAGTCTGCTGCTTTATACACTGGGCCCACTGGGTGGTGGTGTTGCCTCAACTGATTTGCATGCTGGTCTTGTCCCTTTGACTGGTAGAGCTAAAGCTCTGTCCCTAATATATCGCATGGCAGCACTCCCAAACTGTATTCTGTGGTGTGAGACTGATGAGGTGGAACTAGTGCTGGTGGCTCTGAAGCTTTCTGACCCTCTTTGGTCCTTCTCAGTTTTGAAGGCTAGTACATATTCACATCAGTGTAGCTTATTCTCCTGTCTTGTAGAGTCTAGAAATATGACAGTAATTTTTCATTCTTTGCATTGTAACTGTCTACTTTCACTCCAGTTGGCAATGGAACATAATCCAGTTTCTCTTCTGGGCTTCTCCTGAGGTTTTTGCTTGATTAAACTTGTGGTTCATGTGACTATGCTTCGGCTAGTGAGGATTGTCAGCTTTACTACATCTGGAAATAACTATAACCCAAGTGGTTGGATTTTTTTTTTTTTAAGTTAAATCAGATGATGTGGGAAGACACTTTTAACCCAGATTTTTCTGAGTGGGAAGATTCACCTTTACTTTGGACCAAACCTTTTGCTGGCAGCCTGTGTAAAGGACATAATAGAGAGAAGATTGTTCTCTCTCTCTTTTCCTGCTTACTTTCACTTTCCCTGGTAAGCCCATTTCTTTACTGGTATTAGAGCCTACTCCTTCAAGATTTCAGAATATATTGAAAACCAGCTGAGATATCCACACGTGTAGACCAAACAACCACTGGATTCTTGGAACTTCCATGGTAGACAGCCATTGTTGCACTAGATGGACCACAGCCTATAAGCCACTCTAATAAATTATACACACATACACACACATATTGTAACATGTACATGCATACATACATACACAGACACACTTATTGTATGTGTGTGTATATACAGGTATTCATTCTATGCGCTCTATTCTTCTAGAGAACTCTGACTAAAACACATACCAATGTACCCATTAAATGGTCACTTAGCTACACAACCTAGTCTTTTCTTAGAATAATTTTCCTTACTCCTTGAAGAACAGGTAGGCTGAGGGTTTTCAAAATCAACAAATTCTGGTTCTTGTTTTTCTTAACAATTTCTTTAATTCATCTCTCGTTTCTCGAATTTTACTACAAATAACAACAATAGCTGTTTCAAATCCTTTCTTAAAAATCTCCTTTGTCCACTGTCCAGATTTAGTTCTACCTGCAAAGCTTGTTGACATTTTTAGTGTTGTGTATTCTCTACTTTGTCATGTTTCTCATGTCTGTCTGAGACTCACCAGGATGGCTCTTTTCATTTATAATTCTATGCAATCTGTTCATGATTGATGATACACCTTCTGAAATGACAGAGGTTTCTTTACAGTTCTTACTTTCTTCCTGAGCCTTCAACAGAGTCCTTAATGTCTACATTTCTACAAATACTCTCTTTAAAGGAATCTGGGGTTGACCTAGCACAGACCTCAAAACCTTTACAGCTTCAACTCATGACTCAGGACCAAAACAACGCTGCTGGGTGTTTGGTAAAGTGGACTCGGATTCTTATTTAAAGTCATTATTATTTTGAGTGGGCAACAAGAGCAATGTACTACAGAGTGTGTGATGAATAATAGAAGTCATTTCTGGAGGCAGGAATTATATCAAGGTCAACGAGGGGACAGTTTCTAGGGTAAGCCTTCTTTCTGGCTTTTAGATAACAGAATAGTTTAGGAGACATGATTAGTGACTCCTAGAAAGACCAACATTCTTAGAATAAACAGCCATATTAAGTTTTGAACAAGATGCAAGCAGCTGAGGTGCCTATTTAACTCATTAAAGCAGACCTAGCCTCCAGGTTCTCCTAGCATCCCTCAGTCCATACTGAGGGATGTGTTAAAGGGTAAGGCTGGTATACTCTGCCCTCTACCCTGAACTCTCCAGTCCTTCTCCCAGAGGCTCTTCCCTATACAATCCAGACATTTTGGTTACCCTCACTCCTTTTGTACCTTTGGCTTCCTAGCTGCTATACTTGGTTCTTCTCTCTCCTTCCTTCTCCCTCTCTCACATGGTTCAGGTTTCTGGCTACTCTGGACCTTCCAAGATGGATGGGTCTGCTTTTGGCTTTGCTCTCCCACATATCTACAATAAACTTTCTTTTCCACCATACCCATGAGCAGTCATCTTCCTTCTCTTTTTATTTACTTTTGTCATTCAGCTCATACCTTATTGTTTAACTGTAACTAGCAATGTATCATAGACAAGCATGCAGATTGAGTTGAGCACAGCCTTTGACATAACTGTATTGAAAGACATGCTAAAAGTGTTCCATGTCAGTGTTTGCCAAATATACACGATTTTAATGAAATAATGAAGAATTTGGTCTTCAACATACATGTACACACACATACTTATGTATGCACATCCATACATGTATGTATGCACACACATAGAATTTTGCTGAAAAGAAATGAAAAGATATAAAATAAGCATTATGAGCTGCCTGGCTACTAAAGGCCAAGGCAAGAAGTCCATCTGAAGTTGGCTTTTCTTCTGACTCCATTGTATTTCCTTTAATCACTTCCCTATATTGCCTTCTATGTGATCCCCTTCCCACTTTGTGGTGGTAGTCATTATAAAAAAGTTTCCATCTAGAACATCTTTGAATTTCAGTTGTTATTGCCAAACAAGAACGTGTATTTGCACACTTAATAGACTAGACAGGCTTGCCGACAAAGAGGGCTGCACACTTACAACATTTTGAGCTTTGTAGGTGATTCTTTCATGGTCCAGTGTCTCAAATGTGGTACAAAGAATGCTGAATAGCTGTTGTATTTGCTAACAATATTCACCTCCCTTTTAAATAAACACATTCTGACTTTTATCTTGCTTACTCTTGAACCCCAAGGCTGGATGGGACCAGTAACTTGTGATTGTGTAGTTCAGTCTTGTTTTTCCTTTTTTATGTTTTAATTTTTTATTATTATTTTTTTTACAGTTTATTCAATTTGTATCCCAGCTATGGTCCCCTCCCTTGTCTCTTCCCAATCCCAGCCTTCCTCCCTCTTTTCCCCCTATGCTCCTCCCCTAGTCTACTGATAGGTGAGGTGTTCCTCCCCTTCTATTTGACCCTAGGTGATCAGGTTTCAACAGGACTGGTTGCACTGTCTTCCTCTGTGGCCTGCAAGGCTGCATCCCCCAGGAAAGGTGGTCAGAGAGCCTGTCACTGAGTTCATGTCAGAGAGAGCTCCTGCTCCCCTTATTAGGACCTCACTTGGAGACTGAGTCTATGGGCTACATCTGAGCCTGGGTTTTAGGTCCTTTACATCTTTGGTTGGGGTATCAGTCACTGCAGGGTCCCCAGGGCTCAGTTTTTTTGGCTTTGTTGGTCTTCTTGTGGAGTTCCTGTTCCCTCCAGGTCAAAATCTAGAGTGAATACAGATAGCCTCTTGCCTTTCTTGTTCATTGAATTTGGGTCTTCGTGAAAGAAGAGTTTGACAATTAATTAAAATTACTTGGAAGGCTAGTGTTCATTGGAAATTACCTCTGGCATTGGCTTTGATGGTTATATGGGGGATGAGATTTGCTTCTCAGAACCACTAGGAGCCTCAGATCACCACTTGCTATGCCCATGTGAGAGTGTGAAACCCAGGCTCTGACAGCCAAGAAGGAGACAAGAATCTGCTTAAGACCTCTGGCTTCTGGCTGCAGTTGTATCTTTTATTTTTATTTTTTCCCAGTTTCTGGAGGCTGCTATGGCCTGGACAGCAAAGATGACAGGGTTTAATTGTTTTCATTTCTTGCTTAAATAAGAATGTTCAGCTTTTTAAAAGTTATTCTGAAGGTGCCCGCTTTTTTTCTCCAGGTTTTGGTTAATAGGAAATTTCTACCAATTTACTGTGAATATTTTTATTCAGATTTAAAAACAAAAACAATAACAAAACCCCAAAATGCCATTGAATTTATTTTGTACTGTCCAACTACTCCTAGGCTTGGAGCTTACCCTCAAGTGTGTGGTTAATATATTCAATGATGGTCTATTGGAGAAAACTAAATTTTCTTTTGCCAGCAGGTATCAGTTGCAGATAGCTTCTTTGTTAGCAGTGGGAGCCCATGTTCACTCCTTGCTCCCAGTGGTGGGTTCCTATGTGGCTTGAGGCTGTGTAGGCCCTATGCATGCTGCCACAGTCTCTGTGAGTTCATGTGTGCTCCAATTCATTGTATCTGGAGGATGCTGTTTCCTTGGAGTCATCCATCTCCATCTGGCTCCTACAATCTTTCTTCCTTCTCATCTACATAGCTCCCTAAGACCTTAGGGGGAGGTTGATAAAGACAACCCATTTAGAACTGAGTTTTCCAAAATCACTTACTCTCTGCACGTAGTCCAGTTGTGCGTTAGTTCCCATTTACTACAATAATTAGTTTCTCTCATGATAGCTGAGCAAGATACTGATGTATGAGTATATGAGTATGAGCAGAATGCCATTAGGGGTAATTTTATTCCTATGTTCCTTAAGCTCCAAACCACAGAATTTAGTTTTTCCCTAGGTCTGTGGCTTATTCAGTTGTTCATTCTTGGCCACTATAGCGGTGTCAGGAATGAATTCCAACTCATGGACTGGGCCTTAAATCCAACCAGAGAGTGGTTGGTTATTCCCACAGTGTTTGCGCCACTATTGCCCAGCATATATTACAGACAGACCACTAGGTTCAGGGTTTGCAGCTGGGTTGATTATCTCTCTCTTCTGAGAGTGTGCAGAGTATTTCCCTGTCAGGACCATGAATGTTTGCAAGTGGAACTGAAGGCTCTAGTTAGGTGCCAGCTCAACTTCTCTGTGTGTGATAAGATATGTAAGTGTTGACTTTAGTGGAGGGACTTGCTATCAGTTTGTGTAGAGCAACCAATATATCAACTGGGTGATAACCTGTGATTTGAGGGGCGGGGTAATACAATAGGGCCTCTTTGGTCAAGACTCCACAAAACTTAACCCATTCCTGGCACTGGAGGTTTTACTTGGTGGTACAAGATGTCGAGTTGCGGCATTCTCTCCCCTATTATTGTTGACTCTATTTAGATTCCATTCATATATGTACGCATTTTAGGAAGCTTCTATAATAGCATGTCTCCTCAAAGGCCTTTAGCGTTACGTGTTCTTCCTTATATTCGCCCCCCATACCTATTTTTCTTCCTACTCCTCATGTACTCCTCCACCCTCTTTTCTCCATGATAACATATTCTATTTACCTTTCCTTGGGAGAACCTCTCTCTTCCCATGTGGTTTCTTACTAGGTACTTAACCTCTGTGGTTAAATGGATTGTAGCATCCATGTCGAAGGTCTGTCATAGAATTTTAAATTTGCCAGTATGCCTTTATATTCAGGAGAGCTCTTGGCATTTTAGAGACTCTTGCTCTTTTCAGTTTGCCATTTTCATTTTTTATTTTATCTGGCAGGTTAAAAAAAAAAAAGAGAGAAGATGTATAACACTGAAGGCAGGAAAAATTGGGCAAAGAAAACTAGTATATTTACAAGAAGGACAAGAAAGAGGGGGAGGAGGATGGGGAAGAATAAATATATAAAGGGTTTACAAGAAACCAAGGAAAAAGTGAAAAGAATAGTGAGATAAGAATATGGAATGATTGGAAGGTATGTTTATGCAAGGACAAAGAGTAAAACTAAATCAGAAAATAAATAATTGACTACCATGAGATGGAAAGAAAGAACATCACAGCTTATATTCCTCGACATATCTTGTCTCCATTACAGCATCTAATTCATGAAGGCCACAGGCAAGAATGCTGATTTCCTGTAGGTCTGCTGATTTGGACACTTAATTTAAAATTCTCCCTGAACTTGCTCTTTGCCTCTTGATTCTCACTATAGATAGGTTAAATCATTTGTTATGCATGTTGTCATAAGTAATATTTATAAGAAAATAATCCTGTTAGAGTTTCTCTGAGGATACATCAGATAAACAACAGTTTACTCAAGATAGGACAGTGATGGCACACCAAAGAGGTGATTCCTCTCAGTGGACTCAGTGAACCATTGAATCCTGTGCAGACCTCTCTACACATATAAATTATGTGGCTTTATCTGTATGCAACTATAAACAAATGCATGATTTTTTCATTTTCTACACTTACAAAATAGTGTATATACCCGTCCTATTTAACCTAATTGATTTATATTAGACTATGACTAGAATAAAAATTTGCTTATCAAGTTTTCTGTTGAAGGGTATTTGCATTACTTGTATTCTCTCTTTCTCATTTTAACTTAATTACTCTTACTCTTAATATTGATTTGTGCATGTAGTAAACATTATTTTAGAATAAGTACCAGCAATGGAATTATAATGTAAAAGCTAAATTCACTTTCTGTTAAGTAACTCCAATTTTTCAACAGGAAAATGAAAATGATGGCAATAATTTACTCTCTTACAAGTATACTTTCTGCATATTATCTCTAGCATGCAACTAGATTTTCTAAATTTTTATTAAGGCCATTAAGATAAATGTACTTATTTTTAAAGTTTACTTTCTCTGAGGTTGAGTATTTTTTCAGGTTTATTGACTAGTTTTCTTTTTTTGTTGCTGATTATATGTTAGAATTACTTTGTATTTTTTTTTTTTTAAACAGGGTTACTCTTTGTATCCTTGGCTGTCCTGGACCCACTTTGTAGACCAGGCTGGCCACAGTCTCAAAGAGATCTGTGTCGTTCTTTGTCTGTCTGGAGCCTGAGATGAGGCTACCAAAGAACAGAGAGGCCCTGAGATCTCTGAACCTGAGAGGTTCTGTTTCTCTGAGGCAATTTGGGGAGGGGGGTGAGCTTTTCACAGGGTGTTACAGTTAGCTCTTTTAAGTGAGGTTGCTGGTGTCAGAGGGCAGTTGAAGCTTGGGAGTTCCAGAAGCCTGTGATGATACCAACGTGTCACAGCCCTTTGGCTAAACTACTGTATTAACAGTAGGGGTGAGGGCAAAAGCCTATGCTTGGTCAGCTTGAAGCCAACACAGGTCTGCCAGAAGGCAGGTTTGGAGAAATGCAGGCTGGGCAGGCCAGAAGGTGGGTCCAGGTCCTTTGGGTGCTTCGCCAGTGGTCAACAAGAGCTTGTGGCCCTTAGGCAGGCTCTGGCCTGCCTAGGCAACAGCCAAGCCCTGGAGGTTCGGAGGCAAATTTCCAGGGAGGGGGGAGCTCTCCTTTCCTCAAAATAAATAACAAATCTCAGACAGCCATGGTGGAGAAGTGGAGTAAGAGAGATTTATTTCTAGAGTCAAGGACTTATAAACCTTGGTCAGTGGGAGAAGTTTCTAGGGTGAATGTGTTTGATTTGCTGGGGCTAGGGGTGCCAGAAATAATTGATTTACATATAGGGGTACAGTACCTCATTTACATGAAGTAACAGGTTCCTATCACGAAAAGAAGAACCTCTGCTTAATTATCCTGTGGGTGGGTGAGAATCTCCAGGTACAGTGAAAAGTCATTGGTGGAAAGCCAAAATACCAAGACATCTTATTAGTACAGAGTGGGTATCTCCAGGAATCCTAGGTGCTTGCTGAGTAGGTTTCTTATCAAGAAAGGTTTGGGCATGTAATCTCCTCTGAGGGCTATGTGAAGCTCCTTAGAAGTTCTGGGATTCCTCAGATCAGGTGAAGAGTGAACCCTGCTGAGAAAGGGCATCTGTCATCATAGACCAAGCCCTGAAGCTAACTGGAAATGACAGACTTTGACCTTATCAACAGAGTCCCACAGATATGCATCCTTTTCCTCTGAGGCTCGAGAAGGCAGCCCAGCTAGGGGAAAGTGACCCTAAAGCAGGCAACAGAGCCCATGTCAGAGACAGGCCTCTACTCTACTTGCTAGGGGATTCACATGAAGACTAAGCTTCCCATCAGCTACATATATGTTAAGTATATTTTCACTGAACTTATTTATTTATTTACTTGAGTGTGTTTGCATGCCATGATGAGTGTACATGTTGGGATCAGAGGACATCATGAAGAAGTCAGTTTTCTCTTTTCACCACATGGGTCCTGAATCTGGAACACAAATCTTCATGCTTAGCACCAAATGCCTTTACCTGCTGAACTGTCTCACCAGCCTGGAGCAAACATTTTAAAATTTAATATAATAACATTTGCCAATATTTTATTTATCTATATATCTATGTAATTATGCATGTATGGATTTATCATCTATGATCTATGTATTGTTTCTGAATCTTGCTTAAGAAATCTGTGGATTTGTAATTCCTTTCATCTCTTTATTGTTTGGAGTTTTTAATTTTTATTTTTTAATGTATAATCATATCTTCTTTCTGAAGTCTTATAAAAATATACACTGTACATTACTATATTTTTGCTCAAATAATGAAAATTTATTATATTACTATTTTAATATTATTTGCTATATTATGCTTTGAATAATTTATATTTTTCCAAAAATTAATGCTTCAAAAAACATTCCCCAGTGAACAGCATGAAAAGGTGAGGCCTTTTGAAGCTGACTCAGCTACCACCGTGGTCTTTACAAAAGGGTGGGTATGAACTCTGCTTTTCCATCTTGGCCAGATGAAGATGCAGCAGCAGGTGCCATCTTTACAGAAGACAGCCCTACTAAGCACTAAATCTTCCAATGCTTTGCTCATGGATTCCACTGCCGTC